GCTTATTAAATATTTAAAACAGTCGAACGGTGAATAAAATAGAAAAGTTCCGAATTGGTAAGATAAACAAGAGAAAATAATACGAGAAATTAAAGAAAGAGAAATGACTACAAGACAAGATGAAGCAAAGAAGGAGAGTGACAAAAAGAGGGAGCTAAAAGAGAAGAAGAAGAAGAAGAAGAAGAAGAAGAAGAAGAAGAAGAAGAAGAAGAAGTCAACATCCTTATAAAATTCCGAAGTGACTGTGAGACAAGAGGCCCTGACGGGGTGTACGGCTATTCATAATACGGCCGATAAGAGAACACACAAAAAAAAGTTCTTCATATCTCGTTACTCTCCTCCCCAAACCTAGCATCATATTCCAAGTAGTCCCTTACCCCTGCGGTTCAATCCACTCACTGGTTTTATTAAGACCGTTGTGCTAAAGCAGTCGATCATGTATTAGCCTTTTTCGGTTGATTCCATTAGGGGGTCTTACAACTTTCAATGACTATTCTCTGTCCAATGTTCTTCTTATCAGTTCTGTTCGCATGACCGCCTAGTCGGTCCGAACTATGTAGTCACCCGGTCGACCAATCAGCTTGCCGAATATTTCTCTCCTTGACCAGAACAGTCATACCCACTCCCTGCACTACTTTGTCGAGTGCCTGCTCTCTTTCTTCACAGATTAACACGTGCTCGGTAGCAACGTGGTTAGATCACTGGATTACACACTGATTGGCAGATCTGAGGTTCAATTCCGAATTGCCGTTTAGCAACTAAAGAAAAAAAATTGTTTCTTAACTTTTAATGTAGAAGGCGATGAAGCAATGGATAGCTGCTCGAATTGAGAAATCGAAGAGCCGAGTTCGAATTCCAGTCGACTCCATTATATTCACTTACGTGCTAATACCCTTGGGAAAGGTATGAATCTTCACAATAACAGGACAGAACTTGGATGGCAACTCGTCTACCGCAGAAAGAAATGGCAACCTACTGGAGGAAAAAAATCTGTCTCGTCAGTCATGTATCGAAAGATACATGATCGCCTGAGCGTGTATCACGCATGGCACATAACTGACTGACTGACTTTCCAGTCGAATCCTTTACATTCACCTACGTGCTAATACCCTTGGGAAAGATATGAATCCTCTTCTCCCCCACCCCAAGCTATAGATGACACAGACCGGGTTCTATAGCCTTGGATGGCAAATAGTCTACCGCAGAAAGAAATGGCAACCTACTGCGGGAAAAAAATCTGCCTCGTCAGTAATATATGGAAATATAAATGATCGCCTAAGCATGTATCACGCATGGCGCATAACTGACTGAATGTAGAAGTCTATGGTGAACTTAGCGTAGCTTAGATGTGGAACAAGGCCGCATATATGGAGCTCCTTTTGATGATCCAACTCACTAATCAGTTGTAGTTGATCTAGCGAAACAAGGTTGCTAACATCAGAGTATCCCATTTTTAAGCGCAGCTTAGATGTTAAACAAGTCCGAAATTATGAAGCACTTAGTTAGGATCGAACTCACTACACCTTCGTAACTGTGTTAGCGATCTAGCTAACTATTCCCACGCATAGAGTTGCTCAATGTAGATGGCTATGAGAAAACGTGAATAAGTGCTTTCTGTATTGTAAAGAGCAGATTTGTAAGACGAGCAAATGCGCTTTGCTACAGAAATGCACATTCTCCAGAAATAATCATTGTTTTCTTCAAATAACAACCGAATAAGTATTTCAGACTTCGAAGTACTAGAATTAAAATAATTATTAGACTGAGGCTTATAATTTTTTTCTGTCTTTTTATTTATACGAGGTTTGCTCCGAAATTAACGAATCATTTTTTATTATTATGTTGACAGAAGGTATTCTTGAACGTTCATTTCTTAATTCGCAATAGTACACTGTTATCAGTGACGTTAAGGATAGTTTCAAACTTCACATTTGCAAATAAAAAGACTTTTCAAATCACTCTATATGATGTCAATGATCGATTTGACACTATATTTGCGTTACGTTCACTAGCTCGCCTCAAAATTGGTAAAGAGTCAATTTCAGTTTTTATAAATATCATCTAAGAAAAGTCTTAGGAAAAAATACAGAAGAATAAGACATAGCCTTGCCAGCTTCATTCTACATACACACTTGTTCAAATTAAGTGAAACAATCGCTTTAGTTTCCTTGCGCCATACAGTCAGTTTTAGACCCACTGGAGTGACAGGGTGTAATCGTTTTCTATTTTTTCCTGGGATCAGGTTATTTGCAGTGGTGCGCAGTAATATGAATCTATTTTCGGGGTGTATGATGAAATTTGTTTGGCCTTGAAAAATATTGTCTCAGCCGAAATCTTCATCACACCCAGACACTATTGTCTCGACTGTCGATTAGTTGTACTTTGGCCATTTTTTACTCCGAGGAAGCGTACGAAAATTGTAAAGCTGCACGAACACTCTGGCAACCCGTACCAGTGAGCAAATTAATGTAATATAGACTGGCTCGGAAACTCTCCTGATTTAAATCCACTAGAGAATCTGTAGCCAATCTGCAAGGAACGACACTCGTATTTATTAATAAATAAATAAAATAAAACATAGCACGCCCGCTCATTTATCAAAAAAAGCTTAAAACAGGAAATAAAATTAATGTTTTTTTTTATTGTTTCATGCAATACAAAGGCTTAAAAAAACAAACTAAAACCAAAATATAATATATACTTAATATACTGAATATGTAAATATTCAGTTATTTATAAGAAATAAGCAAGACTGTATTGATGTCGACTGCTGTGGAATGTAGTAACCAATGTGGGGCGCTGCTCTCGTAATCACTCAACGAATTAGTGGCTTGTTTAAAAAATCTTTCGGTTCACGGACGCACGGAATACTGCTGGGCTGTATATCACTACACTGATTTCTTTGGTAATAAAGAAAAGAGTACTAAGCTGATACGTAGCATCTGTCCTCCCTTACGGCAGCGAATATTGGACAGTCTCAAAGGTGAAGAAGAGACTCGAGGCGACGGAGATGTGGTTCTACAGGAGAATGCTGAGGATATCATGAACCGCGCGTATGAGCAACGATGAGGTCTTGGAGAGGATGCAAACAAGGAGGAGGCTTATACTTAACATCAGGAAGATGCAGCTGAAGTTTCTGGGTCACGTAATGAGAAAGAAGAGCCTGGAGAATCTGATACTCACATGCCGAATAAAAGGAAAGAAAGACGAGGGAAAGAAACGCATCATATACCAGGCGGGCTGAAGCAAGTGGATGACAGAGCGCTGTCTGGGGGAGGTGAGACAAGGACAAAACTTATTGAGAGCTACAAGGAGAAGTGGACAGCCATGATCGCCTACGTCCTGAAAAGACACATCACATAAAAAGAAAGAAGGTTTGGAAATAGCACTAAACATTAGTTTGTTTATAACAAAAAAAGGCTTGGGAGCGACATTTCACGGTGTCTTGAAAACGTACATGCATGTAAATAGCGAGAAAATGTGCGTTTTAGAAAGACGTATAATTACGTCCACAGCAGCGCAATTGTTCAAAATTGTTTCAGAAGGAGAAAGAAATTTAGAAATATGCAATGTGGTTTTAGCCATGAGTCTGAAATAGGTTATATGTGGAGATAAACTATGATATATCGAACCATTTTGCAAAGGTCCAACTATCCATCATATCTATTTTGAATAAATACCTATCTTTGCATCCATCTGCCAATATCATCGTCCATCTGTCAATCCAAATCCAGCAGCCATATTTTGCCTTCGTTTCTAAATATTTCTTGCTCTGTGCAAATGCCAAAAATGTAGGAACAAAGAAAAGAATATGGACAAGAAAGAAAGTATGAAAGACAGAAAGAAAGTAAAGAGAAAATTAAAACGGGGTGAAAGAAAGAAACTAAAAGAAAACAAGAAGAATAAAGAAAGAAGAAAAGAAAACAAGAACAAAGAAAGAAAAAGAAAGAAAAAGAAAGATAGAAAGAAAGAACGAAAGAAAGAAAGAAAGAAAGAAAGAAAGAAAGGAAAGAAAAGAAAGAAAGAAAGAACGGGAAATGAAAAGAGAGCAGGGTGAAAGAAAGAAAGAAAGAAAGAAAGAAAGAAAGAAAGAACAGGGTGAAAGAAAGAAAGAAAGAAAGAAAGAAAGAAAGAAAGAAAGAAAGAAAGAAAGAACAGGGTGAAAGAAAGAAAGAACAGGGTGAAAGAAAGAAAGAAAGAAAGAAAGAAAGAAAGAAAGAAAGAAAAAAAAGAAAGAAAACAGGGTGAAAAGAAAGAAAGAAAGAAAGAAAAAAGAAAACAGGGTGAAAAGAAAGAAAGAAAGAAAGAAAGAAAGAAAGAAAGAAAGAAAGAAAGAACGGGAAATGAAAAGAAACAGGGTGAAAGAAAGAAAGAAAGAAAGAAAGAAAGAAAGAAAGAAAGAAAGAAAGAAAGAAAGAACGGAAATGAAAAGAGAACAGGATGAAAAAAGAAAGAAAGAAAGAAAGAAAAGAAAGAAAGAAAGAAAGAAAAGAAAGAATGGAAATGAAAAGAAACAGGTGAAAAAAAGAAAAGAAAGAAAGAAAAAAGAAAAAAAAGAAAGAAAGAAAGAAAGAAAGAATGGGAAATGAAAAGAAACAGGGTGAAAGAAAGAAAGAACATAGTGAAAGAAAGAAAGAAAGAAAGAAAGAAAAAGAAAAGAAAGAAAGAAAGAAAGAAAGAACAGGGTGAAAGAAAGAAAGAAAGAAAGAAAGAAAGAAAGAAAAGAAAAGGGGAAATAAAAAACAGGGTGAAAAAGAAAGAAAGAAAGAAAGAAAAGAAAGAAAGAAAGAAAAGAAAGAAAGAACAGGGTGAAAGAAAGAAAGAAAGAAAGAAAGAAAGAAAGAAAGAAAGAAAGAAAGAAAGAAAGAAAGAAAGAAAAGGTGGGGAAATAAAAAAGAAAACAGGGTGAAAGAAAGAAAGAAAGAAAGAAAGAAAGAAAGAAAGAAAGAAAGAAAGAAAGAAAGAAAGGTTGGGAGAAAAGAAAGAAAGAAAGAAAGAAAGAAAGAAAGAAAGAAAGAAAGAAAGGAAGGGAAATGAAAAGAGAACAGGGTGAAAGAAAGAAAGAAAGAAAGAAAGAAAGAAAGAAAGAAAGAAAGAAAGAAAGAAAGAAAGAAAAAGAAAAGGTGAGGAAATAAAAAAGAAAAAAGGGTGAAAGAAAGAAAGAAAGAGTAGGGAAATAAAAACGAAAGAAATGAACAAGAAAGAAAGAATGGTGAGAACCGTTTGCAACAATGTTGTAAACGAGAGTCCAATAGAGTTGGGAGGAGGAGTGAAGAAAGGAAAATCTGATAGACACAGACAATAAGGATAAAGAAATGGTAGTGGGAGGGAGGCAGGAGTTGAGTAGAAGGATATCACAGGGGAATGGGGAAGGTAAAGCCTTGGCGAAAAATAGGAAAGAAGAAAAGGAAGGGTAAGGGGTTGGTTGTTTGCGAAGAAGTAGCAAGAGACAGGAAACGTATGGAGTCTGCAGTGGCAGGAACAGGATCGGTCTGGGTTGAAGGGGTGGGGGATCGTTGCTCGAAGAAAGCGAAAACAAGGAAGAAAGATGGCTTCCCTCGGATATTCAATGTCTGACTCATTTTTCACTGGCAGCACGGAAAAAAATGGTGGTTGTAATGGCTGTGTGGAGAAGGGTATATTGGATGGAATGAAGAAGGAAGTAATGGATGACGAATGAAGAACTTGAAATATAAATAAATAAATAAAATGCTGCTGGAGGAGGGAATTTAAAGGAAGTATTAATAGATTCTTCTTTTCTACACAGCGATCTCTTTATCAATGTAACATGGCTGTCATTACTTCCCCATTTTCATTTCTATAATTCTCCCTACTCCGAAAATTTCCGCATTTATTATAACAGAATTACTTCTGCTGCTACAACAATAACAACAACAACAACTACTACTACTACTACTACTACTACTAATAATAATAATAATAATAACAGTAATAATAATAATAATTTTCTTTTATGTGTTGTATCCCTTCAGGACATTGGCGATCATGGCTCTCCACAAATTCTTGTTCTCTATAACTCTTAATAAATGTTGTCTTTTTACAATCTCTTCTAAAACCTTGTTCCACCATCCATTTACTCGAGCTCGCAAGGTAGGTTATGTTATGCTCTTTCTCTATGCCTTCAAACTGTCCTGTGAGTATCATATTTTCCAAACCCTCTTTCCTCATTATGCGCCTTAGAAATTACAACTGTCTTTTCTTGTGTGTTAAGTATAAGTGTCCTTTTCGCTCCCATTTTCTCGAAAACTTTGTTGATGCTCATATGTTCGGTCAGCAATCCTTGAACGGAACTACATTTCTGTTGTTTCAAGTCACTTCTTCATCTGTGAGGAGATCGTCCAAAATTCACTGCTATGTAGTTCGACTGATATTACATAACAGTTCAGTGCTATTTTCTTTGTTTCTCTTGCTTCAAGTCTCTTCGTCATCGATAGGGAGATCGTCCTGCATTCACTATGATACAGGAGGACCGATATGACATAAATGCTCAATACTCTTTTCCTGGTTTCTAACTAAATTTTCTGTTTCTTAATAACTATCTTAGCTTTTGGAAGGCTAAGAAAATTCATTTGTCATGAAATTTGGAAATAGTAAAATAATAAAATATTCTCCTGGAATAAGCACTTATTTATAATTCATTAAATTGGTACCTCAAGCTACTAAAAAATGATTTCTTTTAATATATAAAAAAAAAAAAATCATGAATTATATATCTGTTAAAATTGGGGGCACCCACCCACTTTTCAGGGTGAATTATTTCGCCAGGGCGCACCGGCTGAGAAACGCTATCACAAACACGACGACTATTGGAACTCGGATCTCCAATTCCGAGTCGTTATCCACTACACCATCTGCACCTCCAAGCTTACAGTATGTGGTATTTTGTAGCGATCACCTAGTCGGTACTGACAAGGCTAGATATTAGTTAAATTGGGTGATCATGCGAGAACCTCTGTTACATCGTGATATGGCCTTATAGATACCGAAGTGATATTAGATATAAAGTATATCAACAAAAGTATATGACAAAATAAGTAAGTATAAGTTTCTTGAAACTGAAAATGAGAAAATTGCTCTTGGTATTATAAATATTGGAACCCAAAGCAAGATTTTAAAAAAGTACAGACAAGCACATTAATAATATTCTTGTCAGCCACTGTTTACAAGAAATTGAAAAAAATGACTTTATGGAACTGTTCAATAATCTAGAAGCCTTATCTATGTTACGGAAATCTATGTTAACTGTAGATGCTAAGTAACGCGCTATTGGTTTCAAACCAAACATCCACTCATCCACTCCCGAAATTTATAGGTAAATCATACAGATGCATGCTGGAATTTCTTTCTAAACAATAAAATAGACTACTTCTCGGGCTCATCCGCCATATTGTTATTCTTCCTTGCCTTGACGTCATAATGCGACAATTATTTGACTGTAACCCTTTTTGCGTGTTGACACTATTCTTGTTCTGTGAACATTTGCCTTATTACTGCTTTTGCCTAATTTTTGTTTTGTTTATATATATATATATATATATATATATATATATATATATATATATATATATATATATATTTGAGCAGATAGTTTCTACTAGCGTCCAGTTCATACATGTTTACAGTCTTTTGAACAGGAGTAGAATTTATCCCTTGTTTCCTGTTCAGTATTGGAACCCGGTTCCTCATAAAGTCTTTTCCATTCTCTTTCATGCGCAGTATGCCCTTACATCGTAGTGGTATTATCAGATAGCTTAGAGTCTTAGAGGAATTATATATATATATATATATATATATATATATATATATATATATATATATATATATATTTGCTTAGTATTAATTTTCCAAGTTATTTTTCTTTACTTTGTTTTATTGTTCATTGGAAACTTTTCCAATTTGGCATTTTTTCCGAATTTCACTTAATCATCGCCAATAACTACACACACACAACATGAGAATTTCTGCGAACAGAGTCCATATATTTACTAATATGCTTTACAACGGTTCTCGTCTGATTACCGGAGGTAAACGAAGTTGAGCCTGGTCAGTACCTAGTTGGGTGACTGCTTTAGAATAAGCGTGGATATTCATGTGTTGTGATGGATAACATCTCTGAATGAGAAAGCTATGAAACCCTCTCTTTCACTCCCCTCCACTTAGTTATGTGCTAAATAGTAGAACAGACTGGGTCCTCTAGCCTTGGATAGCAGCCAGTCTACCACAGAAAGTAACCGCAGACTATTGCTGGAATTATTTACAAAGAAAATCATTAATCGGGACGAAGCATAATCGCCCAAGCAAGCATCAAGCATGGCCTTTAAGAAAGAAAGGCTTTATCCTTGGTTATGGGGAATGACCCAGAAATGGGATGCTGAATGCAATGATAGAAATAAATATCCTGATGATACATCAAGCCTGGCTCTCATGGCTTCTGATCTTAATTGAAAATGATATCGACCGCATTAATTTGAGGTCATTACTAGATTGTCAAATAGGTCTCATCGTTTTAATATTGAACTAGCTAGATGTAACCCTAAGCTGTATTCTAATAATTTCTTTTCTCGCCTGTGGAACTCCACTCCGATATATAACTTCCATGTCACCTACAGTCTTCAAAAATTTAAATGCAATGCCAAGCGCCATCTTCGGTCTTCCTGGATCCTGTTCTTTTATTGTCCTTTTTTTTTTCCTGACTAAAGTCATCTCATTCTCTTTCACTCCAAATAACGCCATTGCGTCTTAGCGGAATTATCGCCTTTCCTAGGGTGAAATTTTTAAATTAATATCACGCACATTTGGCTGTGGAGCATCTGCTTGGTATTCTTTTTTTCTGACTGAGTGTCATGATGAGGATATTGGGTTTCATATATTTGCATCCAGCACAAATTCTTTGGAGTGTCCCTCTCTCTCTCTCTCTCTCTCTCTCTCTCTCTCTCTCTCTCTTAATGATAATAATAGCAATAACAGGTTTTTATTCTTTCTGCAAAAGTCCAATGCTTGCTAACTAGAAATTACCAAGCAGATATACAGAAAAATTATGTTTACTCCAAATGCCGATTCTCTGATAAATATACAGAAACAATTCACCATCTTGTATCAGGTTGTACAGTGTAAGAAACAATTGGATATAAAACTCGGCATGATAGATTGGGTCACTGGAAAATATGCAACATTTATGGAAAATAACCTGCAAGAAATTGGTATGAACATTACCCAAGCCCAGTTACAGAAATAGGACCTGTAAGAATTTTATGAGACTTTACAATATACACAGACAGAACAATCAACGCTAATCTCAGAGACATCGTGATCAAAGAGGACAGGAACAGAATGTGCTTTCTTATTAATAGATAGATAGATAGATAGGTAGATAGATAGATACGAATAGAAAAATAAATGGTGGAATATTAAGAAAGAAAGAAAGAAAGAAAGAAGAAGGACAAGAAGAAAGAAAATCTATCAAAATACAAGGATCTTGAAGTGGAAATCTAAAAGATTTGGTACATGGCATTAATAATTCCAGTTGTAGTTGGAGCCCTCGGATTGATTGGAAAAGTTTCTGATAGACTCATTGAAGGGATTCCTGGTAGCCCATACCTTAAAGAAATGCAAAACTTGTACTCACAAGTACAACTCACACATTACGAAGAGCTTTATCTATGTATAATGTGAGTGGTCTTTGCTTTCTTTTTTGTGCTTTTCTACAAAAATGACCAGTGGAAGATGTCACGAAGCCATTTCTGACCTTAGGTCTCTGGTTGGGACTTGGAAGAAAATATATATACAGCAGAAATCAAAGGAAATAATAACAAAAACAATACTACTACTACTACTAATAATAATAATAATAATAACCGAATCCCTATTTATAACTGCTAGAAAAAAAGTTAATTACGCAATTGATTTGCTAAGAGCATTTACTTACTTCCGTTATAAATCGTCGAAACAATTTAGCAATATAGCCGTGAATGATTTTCATTACTATCTGGAAAAGGCATGTGTACAAATTCCCTTGAAGTCTCGCTTAAAGCTTATTATATGAAAATTGACGGAGAATAGAGTAAGGTCTTGGAGATAAAAAAAATAGCACTTTCTCCCCCAGTCGTAGATGAAGCCATAGTCGACTTTCACAAAGCACCAATTGCCCCATTCAGTTAAGGAGAATATTGACAATCCATTGTGGGATTGAAAATGCTACCCTTCCGACGACTATCATTGAATGTAGTGCATTAGCGCTAACGGAATCGAAATATAGACATGCCGGCATTTTTATTTGCTTCGTAAATATTCATCCAATACAAAGCCCAAGTGTCAGTCAGTGTAGAGGCTTACTAAATGAGGTTGTTGCAGGAACGAAGGAAGTGAATGCAAAATATATGTAGAACAGACAACGGTTGAGACTTGAAGAGGTTAAGTCAGTAGTGTTCGGGGAGCATTCTCTCGGGAGCCGATTACTTAAAATAGCGGGTTTGATGAATTGAATTTTCTTCTAAGCTAAGGGTCGGTAAATTTTTTCTATGTGCCGACTTAGGGTTTCAAAATCATTCAGTGTGCCAACAGCATACGAATTTTTATACAAATCAAGGGCAATATACCTGTTCTACAATATATTTTATATAATAATATATACAATAATATGTAAACTACATTAATAGAAATAAACTGTTTTTTAGTTTTAATTATTGATGGAAGCTTTGCCTTTTCATAGTCTCAGCATTAATAAAAGACTCACGTTCATAGAAAGATTTCCTTGTCTATTTGTTGGTACCCTTATTAGGGGTGCTCTTAGAAGCTGAAACAGGCAGGGAAGTCTAACGAGTGAGCAGATTTGAAACAGCTAAATATCTTCTTTGCGTTGTACTAGTTATTGGTTCGGACTTCGTGATATCATTTTCGTCTGCGTGCCAGGGAAATTGGTTGACGTGCCATGTGTGGCACGCGTGCCGTAGGTTGCCGATTCCTGTTCTAAACAATGGAATACGATGGCAATGAGAACGATTCGCCTCTACAATGCCAAATGCCATCTTCTGTTTTCCTGGCGGGTCTTAGAGTCTGAACTGGTGTACATAGGGAATGTCACTCGTTAGAACATTTTCCATGGAAATAACGATAGAGTGGGGAAAGAATTTGCAACATTTCATCTGTATGAAAAGGAGTCCATCGCTTATAAGGCCGGGTAAGCGCTTCGAACCCCGTCAAGGCAGAAAATAAAGGATTCCGCACCTCCAACCCAGATATGACACAAATACTTCATTTTTAGGGTTATGTGACTAAAATAACACAATCTTTTTCATGCAGAGTGATATTAAATATATCAAACTGGCCAATTTCTGAAATCTTAATATATATATATAAAAACAGAGACTTTTTCATGCAGATCAGTAATATGCCGAGAGATATAAAATATATCAAACTGACCAATTTCTGAAATCTTAATATATATATATATATATATATACATACATATATATATATATATATATATATATATATATATATATATATATATATATATATATATAATTCTATGTGTATATATGTAGTATCCGTTTGTCTCGAGAGAAATACTCCATTTTTTAGACTCATCTGACTAAAACAACAGATCATGAGCAACGCGAGTATGTAGAGCGACTCAAAGACTTCTCAGACTGACCAAATTCCCAAAATCTTAATAAATTAAGAAGAAATGTCTATTTATGTATGTGGCATCAGTCGGTCTCGAGAGAAATACTCCATTTTTAGTTTTATCTGAATAAAGACACAGAGAATTCTTCACGCAGACCAGTAATAAATGAAGTGACTTTAAATGTACATTGACCAAATTCCCAAAATCTTAATTTTTTTTAATTTTTTATGATAGAATAATTATTATCGATTTTCGCCGCTTTTGTATATTTTATTTCATTATTGTGAAGTTCAGTTTTTTTTTTATATTACATTTTAAATTTTAATGTTAAATAAGCAGAATTAAACAAACAAAAAAAAAACGTCTTTGTTTTCCCATTATACCTCGTTTGGACTTTATAAAGATCTTCTTTATTCACTGCATTTCCTTAACATTCTATTTTTCGTTACCGTTTCATATTTTAATTGTAAATCTCAGCCCTTTCTTTATGTATGATCATTTGTTTCCTACGCAGACTTTTTATTCTCCACTCATATTTAAGGTGTTCCTTTTGCATACACCTGCCGGAATCTTCTCAAAATTAATTCTCTCTTTTTGCTTTCATATTTCTTTGCTGTTCTTTTATTTGTTTTTAAACCAAGTTCGTTCTTTCTGCCATTCCTTCTTTTTCTTCTTATCTGTTTACTTCTTTTTGCTTTTGCTTTATTTATTTTTTTCCTGTCATTTTTTTCTTGTTTTTATTATACTTCTTTCTTTCTTTCTTTCTTTCTTTCTTTCTTTTAATATTCCGCCAATTTCTTTCCTTCTGTGACTATCTATCTATCTATCTATCTATCTATCTATCTATCTATCTATCTATATATATATATATATATATATATATATATATATAGCTTTGCTTTGTTTCTAGTCAAATTCACCGTTTCCTCATTAATATGTATATATAATATATATTAATGATATATGAATAATAATATATAATATATTTTTTAATTTCTTATTTGTTGTTCAATTAGCTTCTTTCTTTCTTCTTTTCCTTCTTCCTTCCTTCCTTTCTTTCTTTCTTTCTTAATATTCCGCCAGTTTCTTTCTATGACTATCTATCTATCTATCTATCTATCTATCTATCTATCTATCTATCTATCTATCTATCTTTTTCTTGGTTTCTAACCAAATCATCCGTTTCCGCATTAATACATATTATGTCTTTTTCTTTCTTTTCTTTTTTTCTTTCTTTTCTTTCTTTCTTTCTTTCTTTCTTTTCTTTCTTTCTTTCTTTCTTTCTTTTTTTAATATTCCGCCAATTTCTTTCCTTCTGTGACTATCTATCTATCTATCTATCTATTCATCTATTCATCTATCTATATATATATATATATATATATATATATATATATAGCTTGCTTTTGTTTCTAGTCAAATTCACCGTTTCCTCATTATTAATGATATATGAATAATAATATATAATATATTTTTTAATTTCTTATTTGTTGTTCAATTAGCTTCTTTCTTTCTTCTTTTCCTTCTTCCTTCCTTCCTTTCTTTCTTTCTTTCTTAATATTCCGCCAGTTTCTTTCTATGACTATCTATCTATCTATCTATCTATCTATCTATCTATCTATCTATCTATCTATCTTTTTCTTGGTTTCTAACCAAATCATCCGTTTCCGCATTAATACATATTATGTCTTTTTTCTTTCTTTTCTTTTTTTCTTTCTTTTCTTTCTTTTCTTTTTTTCTTTCTTTTCTTTCTTTCTTTCTTTCTTTCTTTTCTTTCTTTCTTTCTTTCTTTCTTTCTTTCTTTTTTCTTTTTTCTTTCTTTTCTTTCTTTCTTTCTTTCTTTTCTTTTCTTTCTTTTCTTTCTTTTTTTTTTCTTTCTTTCTTTTTTCTTTCTTTTTTTCTTTCTTTCTTTCTTTTCTTTCTTTTCTTTCTTTCTTTCTTTCTTTTCTTTTTTTTCTTTCTTTCTTTCTTTTTTTTTCTTTTTTTCTTTCTTTTCTTTCTTTCTTTCTTTTCTTTCTTTCTTTCTTTCTTTCTTTCTTTTCTTTCTTTCTTTCTTTCTTTTTTCTTTCTTTTCTTTCTTTCTTTCTTTCTTTCTTTCTTTTTCTTTCTTTCTTTCTTTTCTTTCTTTTTTCTTTCTTTCTTTCTTTCTTTCTTTTTTCTTTCTTTCTTTCTTTCTTTCTTTCTTTCTTTCTTTTTTCTTTCTTTTCTTTCTTTCTTTCTTTCTTTTTCTTTTCTTTCTTTTTCTTTCTTTCTTTCTTTCTTTTCTTTTTCTTTCTTCGCTTTTTTCTTTGTTTTTTTACGTTTTTTACATTTATTTATTTTCTTTATCTTCCTCTGTATTCCTTCATTTTTTTACCGCTAATTTAATCCAGTTTTCCCCTTTATTATTTTTCTTTCTTCTTCCCTTATTTGCTTTTAAATCTTTCTTTCTTTCTGTCTTTTTTCTTTCTTTCTTTCTTTCTTTCTGTCTTTTTTAAAATTTCTTCTACCTTTCCTTTTCTTCTACCTTTCTTTCGTTCTTTTCTTCTTTCTTATTTGTTTTTCCTTGCTTAAGTGTATAAATATTCTTTCTTTCCTTTTCTTTTTACTTTGATTTTATTAGAACTTATTTCTTTTCTTTCTTGCCTTGTGTTTCGATCTATCTTCGCCCCCAACCCCATTGCTACTGCCATATTTATTTTACATTCTTTTCTTATTTATTTTTCAACTGCATTCTTTTAGTCTGTCCTCCTTGATTGCTCGTGTGCTTTCTCAATTTTTGTCTTTCTTTCTTTCTTTCTTTCTTTCTTTCTTTCTTTCTTTCTTTTTTCTTTCTTCGTTACTCATCTTCTCATACACATACACCTCTGCTTTTCTCTTCCGTTCTTGCTCTCCACTTCCCCGCCTTCCTCTGATCCTATCTTTCACGCAATGTTCGTCTCAATAGATGTTTACTTTATCAGCCAACATCAACAACAGTAACATGATTATCAACTGAAATGTTTGCTCACTGTCACATCGCGAGTCTAAGCTGCCTAGCCAACTCACTTTTCACCGCCTTGCGCCTTCTTTTAAAAAAAAGGCCAACCTCTTAAAAAAAGAAACAAGGAAAGAGAAAAAAAAATGTAACACAAAAAGAATCCCTAAACCACCGACTAAAAAAGAAACGAAATAAAATACACCTTACAGAATACACAACTGCTTTCGAGGAGAACTTAGCATTCATTTAGCCGTCAAATATCAATATTCATTATTTTTATTTATAATTTTCTTGGATTTTTTTTTATATTCCGTTCTTTTCATTGTTTCAGTTTTTATTTATTTAATAACTTTCCTCATGTTGCAATAAATCATGGCTTCTTCTGTTAAGTCTT